AAAAAACAAGTTGATGTGAGCTCCGGACTTGAACTTTTGACAAAAGATTGTTGAAATCTGGATTTATATCACTAGCACAGAGTCTCAAAGTATTTTCCAGACTGTCGGCTGTTAGCCTCGTGCGTAGTTTAGTTTTATTTTTATGAGAGTGTAGAGGCATGCCGGAATACCAAACCCCCATTCATCTAGTTAGGCATCACATTCCGGTTCCTTCCACTGGCCGAAATGAAACCGGTCGCAGACTGGATCCGGCCGACTGGCCTTCAGTTGCCTACTTACCTGCATCTTATACCACATTATCGCATTTCCTAACTTCAAATCTAACTGCCAGATGGTGATGCAGCACTGATCAAAGCATCTGGAAAAAGCTGTCAACTGTACAAATAGAAATCGCAAACATGTCACGCGCTACACATATTTTAATATTTATATCTCCATACTCATCAGGTTAATCATCATCGTTATCGCTATCATCGTTAGTGAGTCAAGTAGGGAGTAGCGAATACCCGGAAAGAATATCTCGGCCTCCCCTCAGAATATCACGCGCCCCATACCCCATATCAAGGCCTATCCTTCACAACAGAGCCACAAAATTTTGTTCAAAAACTATGCGAGTCAAATCCACGTCCGTTGTTTTCAGCTTAATTTGCAGATACACTATAAATATTTTATATCAAAATAGGCAGTTAAATTTTAGATTCATGGAAAGTGTCTTTTTTTTTTTGCCAGCACTAATTCTTTTTTGAGGTCGCTAGGCAAATCATATGGTTTTAATTACAACATAACGAATCGGAGCCACAATTAAAACGAATTCTAAATGTACCAGGATAACAAGAATTTTTGGATTTTTAGGAAGGGCTACCCTCATCGCTGCTTGAGCTACTGCTCGAATCGGAGCTCATCTGTTCCACATTCTTCACCGGTGGTGGAAGTCCTTTACTGGCTGCTAAATACGATGATGACGATGGGCTGGACATGTGCGGACTGCTTCCGGGTACCGATGGACGTCGTTGCAGTAGCCCCGTACCTGGAGATATGTTCATACGTGGTGAGATCAAGCCACCACGCCCTGTCATACCTCGACCACGTGGAGAAGTCGAGGTCTGTTGCGTAAATGCACCACGTGGACTCCATGACCTAAAAGTAGCCGGGCGACACACTTTATAAAACTTTCTAAGAGAAAATAAACAGCTAGAAAGCATTTAAATGGCTTTTCTTAAGTGCTTTTTTATGCGTTTTGTGCTGTGCAATAGCTGCATAAAACGCATACTGTCATGGGGTTGTCTGTGTGTGTGTGTGTATGAGTGTGTGTGCATGTATGTGTGTTTGTGTGTGTGTGTGTCCGCAGCAACTTGTTCGCAACTCCCAACTTGGGAACCACAAAAGCTAGGAAACTGAAAATTTTTTCTAAATGTAATAGATGCTTGAAAAATTAGGAAAGACAGTTGTTCTCTCGCAGTAAAAATTCAAAAAAATAGCGGCTCGCACCAGGGTAGCTGCTGCCATTATGCGTTTTGTGCAACTCTGTCCAGCAGACGCTTACGCTGAACAGTCCAGAGAAATCTTGCTGTTAGAAGTGTTCACTGCTGCTTTACTCTTTGATATGTACAGAAATTTCTGTGCTTCCCGAGCTACTAATTTTGGCGCCAAAACTTTCAGGTACCTGAGAATTAGGTGTACCTTG